GAGGCCCAGGAGTTGCCTTGTTTTTGACAGGCAAGGATGGATTCCATAATTGAGCTCTGGGCATGGGGCAGTTTCTGCAAAGGAGCATACACCCTTGGCCCCCTCGCTGCCCCTGCTAGAAGTCCTGCCAGGCCAAAGCGTGCCTCCCTCTCCCAGCGGCTCCCACGCCACTCACATAGGCAGTGGCAGGCAGTGAGAGCGCATGCTCCTGGGCATTGTCAGCAGTTGTGTGTGACCACCCGGTAATGTCTGAAGAGAAGAACAACATGGCAGCTGTGCCTTCTTACATCACAGGTACACAGTCGGGACATAAAAACGTCCCTTGAAACTGTCACGTGTCCCAGCATGAGTAACCATTTATAGAAGGTGGTGCCTGCCAGAAGATGCCACCCAGAAGCTGGCTTGCAATTTGACAGCAGGGAAGAATCTCAAAGCTGGCTGCTGCCACTTCAGGCACAATGGATTCTCAGGAACTAGGGTTGCGTCCACTAGTCCAACAGGTTGGGGTCTGGGTGGAGTTGGAAGGAAGTGCACTGAAGCCATTAGACTGGTCCGTCGAGCCGGCTTTCCTCCTGCTTGCACAAGCACTTTTGGGTACCAGGCTGTTTCTTTCCTCACTCCAAGTAGTGTGTGTTCTGCCCTCAGCCTTTTCCCTACTTGTCCAGTGACTGCAGCCTCTATCCCCACCTGCCATAATATCCTCAGTCCAGCTCCACAGAGTCTGTTAGCTCTGATTTTCCTGAGCTCCATACCAATAAAAAATGCCCCCGGCTTCATTTGCTATAAAGACTAGCTTCTCTCCATGAAGGGGAAGGCCAAGCACCCAGGAGTTCCTAGAAAAAAATGAAAAGGGATTCTTGGCCCAGGAAAGGACAAAAATGGTTTCTGGGGTCCACCTTTTGCTGCATGATTTTAGGCAAATTATCGCCCCTTCCCATAATCTCTTCATCTCTTCAAAAATCGCGTGAGGGCACATGAGGCCAGCATCTGTTAAGCAGGGGGCCTTCCTGGTGGTTCAAGGAGTTAAGATGCAACCTATAAAGCTATCACTAGCCACTGAAGCATGCATGAGTTCAATTCCCAGCCAGAGAGCTGCCCACATGGCGCAGCAGACCTCTCCTGACTTGCCCACTGCTCTCCTCAGCAGCCTATTTCAGTAGATCTACCTGTTCTGTTCTCCATTTTGTCTCTGGTGAATCCTCTCACCTCCCACACCTCTGGCCTGTACAGCAGTTCTTGTATGCATAAATTAATCTTTAAAACAAAAAAGCACACATTAAGCAGCTCTGCATGACACATCATCAGCTCTCAACACATCACCACCACCGTTTGTATTAAGAACTCTTGCCTGGGCCTCCCCGGTGGCGCAGCAGTTGAGCACTGGGTTGCGAAGCTGCCTGCAGCCTCTGCAGAGCCGGTTCAATCCCCGGCCTCGGGTCGAGGGTCCCACATGGTGCGCAGACCTCTCCTGCGGCCCGCTGCTCCCCTCAGCAGTGTACTTCATCAATCTGCCTGTTCTGCTCTCCGCTCTGGCTCTGGTGAATTCTCTCACCCTCCCCGCTTCTGACTGTACCCCAGTGCTTGTATAAATAAATGAATAAATCTTTAAAAAAAAAAAAAAAAAGAACTCTTGCCTGATATCCTGAGGTGGTAAGAGAATGTCACAATACCTGTTTCTCAAGGAGGTGTTCTCTTTCCTTTTTTTTTTTTTTAAGATTTATTTATTCATGCATACAAGAGCTGGGGTACAGGCCAGAGATGCAGGGGATGAGAGGATTCACCAGAGACAGAGTGAGGAACAGAACAGGCAGAATAACTGAAATGACCGAAGTACCCTGCTGAGGGGAGCTCCCTGGCAGGGGATTGAACTCGTGCTACAGTGGCTGTGGACAGCTTCACAGGTTGCTTCTTAACCCTTTGCGCCACCAGGGAAGCCTGGCCCTTTCCTTTTCTTGACACACCATTTTGTCCCTTCATGCAGTCACCTAAAACAAAAACAAAATGGCTGCCACCATCTTGGGAGTCTCCTTGGGAAACCTGGAGATGGGAAAGGATCTTCTGCATATGTCTGGAGTGGGGTCCATCTAGGATAAGCTGTGTGATGAGTGTTCTAGATGGGTGCTAGGGTAACTAGGTCTGGGAGACTGAGGGAGGGGTAGCCTGAACAGAGAAGAGGAAAACTGGGGGGCTGAAGAGAATTGGTGTGTCTTAAGAATACAAAGGGTAGGTCCTCCCTTGTCGTGCAGGTGGTTGAGGCAGCACTGTGTGAAGCTGTCTGCAGCCTCTGCAGGGCCGGGTTCGGTTGGATCCCCGTCAGCTGTGGAGATACCCACGTGGCGAGTAGACCTCTCCTGTCTTGCCCGCTGCTCCCCTCAGCAGTGTATTTCAGTCAGTCTGCCTGTTCTGTTCCCCACTCTGTCTCTGGTGAATCCTCTCACCCTCCTGCACATCTGGCCTGTACCCCGGTTCTAGTATAAATAAATAAATCTTTTAAAAAAAATACAAAGGGTGGTGATCATTTCAACATACATATATATGTGTAAGTATGTAAACATATATGTAGAATCATTATATTGTATACCTGAAACTAATATGTCAATTGTATCTCAAATTTTAAAAAGACACTTAAGAAGACATTGACATTTATAAAAAGAATGAACGTGGGGACTGATGGATGTATCAGGAATATATTTAAATGGAGACCAAATGAGTTCAGGAGCCAAGTAGAAGACTGAGCACTTGAAGCGTAAGAGGTTTTGAGAGGGAGTGCGAGGCCATAAGGAGAACTATCCTGGCAGGTTTTAGGGCTGAGGGAGTAGAGGCTCTCCGGATATTCAGGCTAGAAGTGGGATAAGGGTAGGGCCACTTAAAAGGGGCCTGGGGAGTGAAGGTGAAGTGAAGAGGGTGTGTTTTGGAGGTGGGGAGGGGCACCGGGGAACTGAAGGGGCCAAAAGTTTAGAACCGGCCTGGGAGGGTGAGCAACAGGGGGGTAGAGGCTCTGGCTTCTCTGGACCCATGAGGGCCAGCTGGCCCGGGAGGGTCCCAGGGCAGAGAATTATGGGCAGGGTGAAGTGGGGGTGCGGGGGTATTTAGGTTGACAAAATCCAGGGGGGCTGGGTCGCTGGACTGAGGAGAGCTGGGGTCTGTGCATTGAAGGATGCAAAATGGCCAGGAGTCTCTGGGCTAAGGAAGGGAGGGGACAGGTGGAAGCTGTGGGCTGAGGGAGAGAGTTCCTGGACTCTGTGAGGGTCTGTCAGTGTCCACCCAGAGCAAGTGAAGGGTCTCCCCAGACTGTGAGGAAAGGGAGGACTGGGGACAAGGCCCCCAGATCTGTGGGGGCCAATGGGATCCCAGAGGTCTGTGAGCTGAGGAGTCTCAGGGTGGGAGGGAGTGTCTGTGCGCTGCAGGAGATCTTGGAGTCCATTGCCTGGGGTGTCTTTGGGCTGACCAGGGTGGGAGATGGTGGCACAGGTCGGTGGGTGCCTTCAGAATCTGTGAGCTGAGTGGGTCCCTGTGCCTGTGGGTTGAAAGGGTCTCAGGGTCTGTGAGCTGAGGGGGTCAAAGGGTCTGTGGGTTGAGGGGTTCTGGGGTCCCAGGGTCTGTTTGTGAGTTGAGGGCCTCCAGGGGTTTCGTGAGAAGGGCTGTCATGGTTTCTGGCTGAAGGGGTGTCAGGGTCCAGGGGTCTGTGGGCTGAGGGTGCTTTGGGGGCCTGTGGGTTGAAATGGTCCCCGGGGTCTGTGAGCTGAGGGGGTCTTGGGGGCTCTGTGGGCTGAGGGGTTCTTGGTGTCCCAGAGTCTGTGAGCTGATGGGTCAAAGGGCCTGTGGGCTGAGGGATTGTGGGGTCCTGGGGTCTGTGAGCTGAGTGGGGTCTTGGGGGTTCTATGGGCTGAGGGGTTCTGGGCATCCCCAGGGTCTGTGAGCTGAGGGGTCAAAGGGTCTGTGGGCTGAGGGGTCAAAGGGCCTGTGGGCTGAGGGATTGTGGGGTCCCGGGGTCTGTGAGCTGAGTGGGGTCGGGGGTTCTATGGGCTGAGGGTTCTGGGCATCCCCAGGGTCTGTGAGCTGAGGGGTCAAAGGGTCTGTGGGCTGAGGGGTCAAAGGGCCTGTGGGCTGAGGGATTGTGGGGTCCCGGGGTCTGTGAGCTGAGTGGGGTCTTGGGGGTTCTATGGGCTGAGGGGTTCTGGGCATCCCCAGGGTCTGTGAGCTGAGGGGTCAAAGGGTCTGTGGGCTGAGGGGTCAAAGGGCCTGTGGGCTGAGGGATTGTGGGGTCCCGGGGTCTGTGAGCTGAGCAGGGTCTTGGGGGTTCTATGGGCTGAGGGGTTCTGGGTGTCCCCAGAGTCTGTGAGCTGAGGGGTCAAAGGGTCTGTGAGCTGAGGGGGGTCTTGGGGGCTCTGTGGGCTGAGGGGTTCTTGGCGTCCCAGGGTCTGTGAGCTGAGGGGTCAAAGGGCCTGTGGGCTGAGGGGTTCCAGGGTCCGGAGGCTGTGAGCTGAGGGGTCTCGGGGCTCTGTGGGTGGAAACGGCCCCGGGGTCTGCGGGCCGAGGGTTTCTGGGGCCCCGGGGCCTGCGCGTTGGGGGCGTCGCGGGGTCTGCGTTTTCCTCAGAGGCGCCGTCCCGGCGTCTGGCCCGCGGGCGCCGGGGCCGGGTCGGTGGTGAGGGGTCTGGGGCGCCGGCCCGCGGGTCCGCGGCTGCGACGGCGCGGAGGGCCGCGAGGTCCGCGGGGTCCGGGCGCGGGGGCGCGGCTGGCGTCCCCGCCCGCCCGCCGGCCGTGGCGCCGCCCCGCCTGACATCAGTTCCTGACGCCCGGGCTCCGCGCACGGCCGCGGCCTCCTTCCCGGCCGCGCTCGGGAGCCGCCGGGCCGCGGCGGAGCGAGGGCCCGGGCGAGGCAGGGCCGGGCGGCGGGCGCCGGGCCCCGCGGCCGGCACGACGGAGCCCCCGCACGGCCGGCGGCAGCGGTTGGCGACGGCCCCGGGCGCCCGGCGCGGGAAGCGGCGGCGGCGGGGCGGCGGCGCCGGCGGCGCCATGGAGCCGCGGGAGGTGAAGGACCGGATCCTGGAGAACATCTCGCTGTCGGTGAAGAAGGTGAGCGCGGCCGCCCCCCGCGGCCGCTCGCCGGGCCGGGTCCCCCGCGGCCGGGCCGGGGGCCGCCGCCGGGCCGAGGAGGGGCAGCGGCCGGCTCACGTGAGCGCCGCGGCCTCCCTGCTATTTTTAAAGAACAAAGTTGAGGTCAGCCTCCTCGGAGCTTCCAGAAGCCAGGCCGGGGCCCCTCTGGACCCGCCGGGGGCCGCTCTGGGGACCCCCACCCCCACCCCACGATAGGCGGCCGCTTCCAGATCCCCCGCCGCTGGTGACATGGCCTCAGGTCCTGGAACGTTCCCAGAATAAGCTTGGTCAAGAGTGACAGTTTTGAAGAGGCTTATTGCACAGATTTGATGGAGAACCCGGCCCAGGCACTGTAGTGTGGAGGTGACCCTGGGGACTTGGTGGCACCCCAGACACCCTGCCGCGGGCGTCCTGGCCATAGGCATCACCGTCCCAATTCCAGGTAGAAAGGGCTGTTTATGTGTGAGGAAGTCAGCTTCCCTGGACAGGGGTCCCCTGTCAGAAGGCAGAATTCCTAGTCCCAGCACACCAAGCCAGCAGGGACAGTCACTTAAGGAATAAGCTTGGGTTTCTTTTCCTAATTTGAATTCCTGTTTCACCTGATAGTCTCAGAAACTGGGTGTGGGGGGTAGGTGGGGTGGACTCATCAGATTATTTTTATTAGTTCAGGGAGTCAACGATAAGAGAAGGAATTAAATCAACCCTTACCTTCAAGTGGCAATGTTTTTAACCCCACTTAAATTCCTCAAAAGTAGCAAAAGCAAGCCATTTTACCTTTCAGAAAGATGGATGTGGCTTCAAATAGAATAGAGCCAAAATGCTCGCACTAAAATGTTCCTCTCAAGCACAACTGAAAGTGACATTGCAGACACCCAACAAGTTCTGTTTACTTCACTTTCCTAAGCTTTGCTCATGCAAAGGATTGTCGTTTTTGCTTACTCAACCAGACAGGATGAGCAAATCCTTTGTTAAAAAGCAATACATCTTTTGTAATGGAAGAGCAAGGCAAACTGCTGACCTTTCTAATCTAATCTGGACCGATTATGGTTTCAGGTAGGCCAAGTGTTTTTTCTTTGGTTTCCAACAAATGGAGAAAGTCCACGTAGAAAGGGCACAGAGGTACACACGGGCACACAGGTACACACGGGCACTCTGACATCTGTGTGAATCTCTGAAGCAGCGGCCCCTTCTGTAAATCAGGCTGCCATTTATGAAGGAGTTGGGTGTGCTTGTCAAGATTCTTATAATGGTATACCTTTGGACAAGCCCAGTTTGTTGGGCTATAGTGACAACCAAAGGCACAACTGGCATCAGGGTTGACAGTATGGACTCTAAAGCTGGCTGTCTGGTTGAATGCCCACCCTGCCAGTTAGTAACCTTGTAGCCTTAAGGGAGATTCCCTAACTTCTCCAGGCCTCTGTTTTCTAGTGTCTAAAGCAGAGCTAAAAGTAGGATGGTGAGGACTTAATGGAAGTTTGTATGCAGAGTATTTAACGTGTTGCTTGACTCAGTGTTAATAAGTTGTCTTGGTCTGTTTGGAGCGCTAGCGCAAATTGCTGTAGATTGAGTGGCTTGTAAACAGCATGAAATTATCTGTCACAATTCTGAATCCTGGAAGTCTGAGGACAGGGCGCCAACACTGAGGTCTGGTAAGAGCTGCCTTCTGTTTCAGGCTGCTCACTTCTCCCTGTGTTCTCACCTGGGGAAGGTGTGTGGGAGCAATCTGGGCTCTTTTTTAAGAAAATATTTATTTATTCATACAAGAACTGGGGTATAGGCCAGAGGTACAGGGGGCGAGAGAGGATTCACCAGAGACAGAGTGGGGAGCAGAACAGGCGCATCTACTGAAATACCCTGCTGCACTACCCCCTGCACCACCAGGGAGGCCCTCTCTGGGCTCTTTTAGTAGGGCACTAATCACATTCATGAGGGCTCCATACACATGACCTAAGCACCTCCCAAAGGCCCCCTCCAAATACCAACATATTGGGGTTAGGATGTGAATGCAGGGATTGGGGGCCAAGCATTCAGTCTATAGCATAAGTGACAGGTTCTTCTGGCAGAGCCGGCTCCACGGTTGGACAAGGTCTGAAGGTGGCTGAGTGCCTCAGCACTCAAAGATTTTATAAAACCTTTTGGACTTGTCAGCTACTTCCTTTGTAGCTGGCTTCAGAGAACTGTTATATGGTTCTTGCATTATGAAGGGCATTTGGTTTTCTGGATCAGAACATCAATTTCTAATAGGAAGTGTGTAGCTCAACTAGAGCACAAGGCATTGAGGGCTAAGATTTGTCCTTCAATACCAGCCTCACACCAAATTTGTTTATACAGCACCTTCAAAGTTGCTTTACCTCTTTTCTTCCCTCTTACTACAAGTAAAACACTCTTAATCAATCCTTTTCTAAGGGTAGTGCATGAAGAAATTGAGGTGTGTCTTTCTGCAAAAAAACCCCGATCCATTGTGAGCTATTATGTTTGCAAAGGGCATTTTAGAACTTTGTATTGAAATAGACAGTGCCTTCAAAGAGAAGGCAAGAGAATAAAAGAAATACCTAGGGCAAGGAGAAGCCCTCAGAGAAGGAGGGCTTAACCAAGACTTGACAAATTGGTAGAATTCAGAGAAAGAGAAGAAGCGGCATTCAAGTTAGAAGGAACAGCCTCAGCCCCACCCCGAAGAGGTGGATCCGTGGAAGTGGGGTCATTTAGGTGGTCTTCTGAGGACAGTAGGGAGGCAGCCCCGTCTTGAGAGTGCCTTGGGCTCTGCGGGGTGTGACAGGAGAGTGCTTTCCATGGCGGCCGCACAGCACAGTTGATGCAATGGTAGGTCTCAGAGGTACATAGAGCCAGGTCTGGTTTTGAACTTTGGGTTTGTCACAGACCATGCTGACCCTGGCAAATGACTGGTCCTCTGGTAGCCTCAGCAGTCAGCATCTACTCCTAGCATTGTAATGAGAATTAAATGACAAGATGGACACTCAAATCGCTTAGCACAATGCCTAGCGCATAATAAGGCCCGAATAAAATATTAGCCACTATCAACACTTGCAAGAATCTGTGTGAACTCTGAAGTTCCGAAGTCTTACACTACATCTCTGTTTCTTCAAGTTCAGGGTGCATCACACTTTTTCTTAGAAGGCCAGCTTGTGAACATTTTCAACGCACATGGTCTTCATTGCAACGACTCATCTGCCCTTGCAGCTCAAAAGCAACCACAGACAGTCCGTACCCGTCTGGCTGTAGCTATGGTCCATGCACGCTTGCTTACAAGGACAGCTAGAAGGTGGGAGTTGGCTCACAGCAGCCCTATGTACACACATGCAAGTGTGAAGGCCTCGCCAGGGTCGACTAGGAATCACTTTCAGAGAAATTGGTGTGACCAGCCCTATAGTTAACCAGATCTCTGTAGTAACTTGGTTTTGTTCTTTGTATCAGGCTGACGGAATAATTCTGGAAACTTGTAAATTCTTTCACCTGCCCATCTATTTGTTTGTTTGTTTGTTTTTTCAAAAATATTTACTGAGCATCTTCCTGCTGTCCTCAGCCCTGGGAGGGTAGCAGTGAGTGGGACAGGAGGTCTGCCCTCGTGGTATGGATGTTCCAGTAGAAGAGTGTTGAATTAGTACGTGAAGCAATACGAAGATGATTGAGATGTAATAAAGTGCAGGCATTAGGTAGGATACTTTGATAAATAATTGGCAGGTGAATCTACTGGGGAGGAGAGAGTCAGAGAAGTCTCAGCTCAGACAGTGATGTTGCGGCCAGCAGGAATAGGATGAGAAGAGGAGAAATTACTCTAGGAAGATGAACAGTTTTTTAAAAACACACACACAAGTAGCTCTGAATTGTACAAAATAAAAAGCAGGCAGGCCCTTCTCTGCCTCCTCTGGACCCAGTTTTACTCCATCATAAATGGAGGAAGTACAGGTATTTTAATAAAGGAACTATCTCTTGGTGGTGGTTCCTGGCTGGTGACACCCTTCTCTTTCTAGGACATTCTAGGTCTCCACCCATCTCAGTTTGGGCACTTTGGCCCTGAGTGGGGTTTAGCTGGTGGCCAGGCACACCCCGCGTTGAGCAGGGTCTCCGGCCAGGGTTGCTGACAGAGGCATGTGTTGGGCTGTTGCCCACCCAGCCTATCAGTGCAGCTGAAAAGATGGGCTTGAGTGGTGGGGTCCCCCCATTTTTCTACTCCTTCTGAGAAGCTGGATCTGCCCACACAGTAGTTCCCCCCTACCTGCGGTTGCACCTTCCACGGATTCAGTTACCTTCCCTCGACCACAGCCCGAAATGTACACAGTAGGTCATTTTTTAAAAAGATTTAGTTATTTATGCATACAAGAACTAGGATATAGGCCAGAAATGTGAGGGGTGAGAAGATTCACCAGAGACAGAGTGGGGAGCAGAACAGGTGGATCCACTGAAATATACTGCTGAGGGGAGCAGTGGGGAGACAGGAGAGGTCTGCTGTGCCAGGTGGGTCAGCTCCCTAGCCGGGGTCAACCTCTTGTTGCAGTGGCTGGCCATAGCTTGATAGCGCTTAGACTTTAATCCCTGCACCACCAGGCGGGCCCTTTGAGAGCGAGGGAGATATTCACGTAACTTTCATTATATGATATTGTTGTAATTGTTCTGTTTTATTTTTTGTTATTGTTGTGAATCTCTTACTGGGCTAATTTTTAAATTAAACTTCATCATAAATATGTAGTTTAAGGAAAAGCATAGTAAGGATGGAGTTCAGTACATCCCTAGTTTCAGGCATCCACTGGAGGTCTTGGAATGGATCCCCTGCAGACAAGGAGGGGGGAGCTACTGTACATTAAAAATGAGCCAAGACAGCTTATTTCTAGAGAGGGCTGTACAGATAGATAGATGTGAAAATCATATTGACCATGGTTTCAATCAATAGTTTTGTTCTTTCTGGCTTCACAGAAAAACTCTTTACGAGTTTAAAAAAAGTCTAAGAGTTCTGACAATCCCTA